TCCTCCCTCAACCCCAACCCCACCTGCCTCATCTCCGACGGCTTCCTCCCCTGGACCCTCCACTCCGCCACCCTCCTCCGCATCCCCCGCCTCACCTTCACCGGCATGAGCCATCACGCCACCGTCCTCAGCCTCATCTCCGCCCCTCTCCTCTCCCTCCACTCCTCCCCCGACCAAGTATTCCCGGTCCCAGGCTTCCCGTCAATCACCCTCTGCCGGAACGACTTCGACCGGCCGTTCACCGACCAATTCCCCACCGGACCCCATTGGGACTTCATCCTCGAGGCCGGCCGCGCCATGGCTGCCAGCTTCGGCATGATCGTCAACAGCTTTTATAACATGGAAAAGCCCTTCGCCGACCACTCGGCCGCCAGAGAAGGATTACGGTGCTATACCGTCGGCCCACTCTGCCTCGCGGGCCCACCGGTGGGCCCGCGAGGCCCACAAAAACCGCGGTGGATTGAGTGGCTCGACGAAAAAAACCAAACCCCGGTTTTGTACGTCGCGTTCGGTTCGCAGGCCGAGATATCCGCGGCCCAACTACGCGAGATAGCAAACGGGTTGGAGAGTTCGAACGCGCGGTTCTTGTGGGTCGTGAGGAAGGATTTTTGTGATTTGAACGTGATTGGCGGGAGTTTCGAAGAGAGGGTGAAGGGGAAAGGGATTATCGTGAACGAGTGGGTGGATCAAAGGGAAATACTCGAGCACCCGGCCGTGCAGGGTTTTTTGAGTCATTGCGGGTGGAACTCGGTTTTGGAAGGGATATGCGCGGAGGTTCCGATTCTGGCGTGGCCGATGATGGCCGAGCAATATCTTAACGCGAAGTTTGTTACGGAAGAGATTGGGATTGGGTTGAGGGTGGGGACGGTGGATGGGACGAGGAAAGGATTTGTTGCCGGAGAGAATTTGAGAAGTGCGGTGGTGGAGTTGATGGAAGGGGAGAAGGGGAAGAGGGTGAGAGAGAAGGTGAAAGAGGTGGCGAAGGAGGCAAGGAAGGCTGTGGCGGAAGGAGGCTCGTCGTGGCTCGATCTCAACCGTATGATCGAGGAGACAAGCAAGCATGCGAAGATGATGAATAGCTATGTAGAGTAGGTGTGAAAGATCGAGCTCTGCTCGGCTAGTTAAGTGAACGAGTTTTTGACGAGGTTGGCTCGGTTGATTATCTGAGTCCGTAGGCGAGCTGACTCGTTTCATTTAACGGGGTGTATACTATTATAATAATGCAAGTCTTTGTTTCTTTAGTATATAGTGCATTTTAGTAAGGAAAAGCTGAGAGGATTCCAGCTGAAAATAACAGGCTATAAAGAGGACAGGGCCCGAGTGGGAAGCCTCTCAAAGGCCCGAGAACTGAGTCCCGCGGCCCAGGTACACCTATCTCGAGGGGTCCCAAGGAGGACTACCTTGGCTCGTACAATTGTTTAAATATTTTTTGATTGAAATTTGTGGTGTCCAATAGTTTGTTGGGCCTGGCGGCAGTCTTGCTGGAAAAACCCTGTGGTACGATGTATATGGCAACGAACTAATTATAGTTATTGAAGTCCGAAATTGATGGTCTTTTTGTTTCCAAAGTTTGATAATGAGTTGCGGACCTTAAAATTTAGTGGTCGAACGATTGCCAACAATATTTAATATCAGAAATAGTGAAACCCAATTCAATCAATACCAAAAATATTATGTGGTCAACGTTGATGAAAACACTATTCAGACGGCGACAACAATTGTTACTTAATCACTTAATTATTGTTATCGACTTTAATGAGCAAAGTTGCGGTTAGTTGAGGTGACATTAGAACTTTTTTCCTTACATTAGGCAGCCAATTCTAAGTTTCATGATACATGTG